TGTTTGATTTTAAGATAATTTTTAAACATTTAAATTTTAAACTATGTTTTAAACTTTTTCATCTAAAACATCTTTAAATGTTTAGAAAACGAAAATAAAAATAAAACATTTTAATATCATAAAATTAAACACTTCTTTTTTGAGTGAAAACTCAACGCTGCTTTATATATAATAATATTTAATATTTGAATTATATTAATTGGTTAATAAAATCTCATTATTTTAAGTAATTTTATCAAGTAATTTTAAGTTGTAACGATTTTTATCATATTTTTGTAGTATAAAAGTTATCTTGTTACAAAATGATATATATATTTTTGCAACAATTATTTATTTACTCATTTTATATTATATCTTAATTAATAAAATATTTGATTCTTAATAAGAATTTTTTTATATTTATTGCATTTAGCATAGATAGGAAAGCATCTCACTTGATCAGCCTTAAGCTTTTTCACGTTCGGAAATCACATCGAGATATCAATTTATCGTTTAACATTTGGTGTAATAAGGATAAAATGATATCTTGGGACTCTTGCCAATCACAATCAAACTATATGCACTCAATCACCAATCATAATAGAGTTGCTGTCCTTTCCCTTTTCTTTGGAATCATTCTTTTCCTTAGGGATTTGTCCACTGGAATTTTCTAAAAGCATTTGGGTATAGGCACATTTTTTCTTTGACTCCTCCCATGCTATTCTGTATTCTGTACAATTGTATAAAACTAATAGGAAACAATCGTCAAATATGAGAAGACTGATCGACTATGATTGGTCAATTTTTTACATTAAATTAGTACTACTAATGAACAATTAGATGTGAAGTAATTATTTGTTGACTGGTCTGACCAAATCAATTTTACTATCTATACGCCCACAATTTTTTATGTGCATCTGGGATTGCAAGAGAAATGCTCGGAGTTTTTAGTCCGTAAATTTTAATTTTGAAAATCTTATATGGTAACTCTCTAAATCATAACAAAGAATCATTAATTGTTTACCGAAAATAACTATTAGGTGTTGGAATTAATTCGTAGCGTTTTACAAGTGATGGGAAGTACTTTCATTAATGTATTTTTTAATGCTCATGTGAAATAAATAACATTCTTTCATTAAAAAACGCTACGAATTAATTCCAACACTAATATTATATAGGGCGTTACTTTTAACCAATACAAGTTTTACATTAAATTTTGTTTAATTTTAATTAATCTTATCACGTTTTGATACATAATATCTTACTACATACATACTATTTTTATTTAAAATTCGATATATCTTATAAATCCACAAAAATGCATATGCACATAGTATTCAAATATAAAATATCTATAATATTTTTATGGTCTTTTATCAAATCATATCGGAGCAAAGTAACGTATGAAAATATAATTATGTATTTATGTTATATTTTAATAAATTTATTTATCTAAGTTTTATAACACATGCTTACATGCTTGTATCTGAGATAACAAAAATATGAGCAACTTAATTGTTTTTTAATATGTCGTAGTCTTAATATGTCCTTTTGTAGTTGTAGTGTACTGTACTTTCTTTGTAGTTACTATGTCAGTGAAATAATATTTTTAAAAATAGCGTATATTATATGAGAAATTATAGGAATCTCAAATCTTTTGCTCAATAGAAATTCTTTGAATGAAAATATCATTGTCCTTCGGGGAAACAGTAGGCTTTTCGCTGTAGACTTACACTCGCTTTTCGTTGCATTCCGTATGAAGGTTTATTGTGTTTAGTCGTGCAGAACATTGAGGACGATGCAAAAATGATAATAATATGGAAAGTACATCTTGTATAATACAATGAAATATAAAAGGCCTGGGCAGGTATTAATTATTCGGAATGGATTCCGATCGGAATTGATCAATTATTTCCTAGCTTTTTGTTATGTTTTCTGAAGAAGAGAAATCAAAATAATTCTGATCGGAAATCCGAATAGTTTCATAAGTGCTATAACAGGTAGGCTATATAGGGACATATAAGGAAAAATATTGTAGGTATTTTACATACCTGTTTTTTTTTATACTTAAAGACTGAACTTTTTGCACGTCTTTTATCTTTTTCTCTCTAATGTGAAAAGAAAAAGAAGAAAGCTAACACAAGAAGTTCCGGACTTGGAAAAAGATTAGGTCTAGGGTCCTTTTCTAAATCCAGAACTTCTAAAACAGTCTACGACCTATTTGACTTCACAATTTTTTTAATGTCTGTTTCTCAATTCAAATTTGAAAATTAATGTTAGATTAAAAAGAGAAAATGTTTGAACATTAAAATATACTCAATATGACTTAAATAGCGCTTTTTCTTTTTTCATCCGTATAAATATTTGAACGACAATGTTTTAATCAACAATCTTTCGATCGACAATCTTTTTTTAAATGTTCATACATATTTCCTTTTTTGAATCTGCTTATCAATTTTCAATTTTTTGGATTTAGAAAAAGATATTAGAAAAAGATCATAAAGCTTATACAAGGCTCAGTAATGGTTTTTGTAGTTTTTTTCTATGCATCAAATATGTAAAACTTGTTTCTCATAAGGCATCTTTGATACATCGCAGCTCAATACTATCCAATATCCTTGTCTGTAACATCTTTTGTTTACCACATTATAAGCTACATTATATGTGAAAATTAACTCATTTCATCTAAATCCAATTTTCCATATAATTAGTGCAATATTTGCAATCGTTATGATGATGAAAAGATTTAAGCATCACAGAATAATCCATGATGTTCCTTGCTATTTATGTAAAACGTCGATTCACGGAATAATGCGTGTTTTAAACATGCGTGGAGAACAAGATTACTAATTACATGCACATGATGAATTTCTGAAAATTGATTCTGACCATTTCAACGATGTGAAATTAATTTTATAAATGTATATTTTTGCTGTTTCATTTATTTTGCTTTGAAAAATTTAAAAAGTTCGAAAGAAATCAATTTAATAGATCTGATTTTTGTTGCTGCACTGAACGACTGGACTGCACTTTTTATCTCGCTGTCGCAGAACTTCAAATATGTACCTATTTCATTTCAAGTACAACAAATGTATACTAGTTTAGTTATAAAGAACAAACCTAACATTGTTGCATTTCTACAGTTCCGAAAAGTCCTGTTTATAATGTTTAAAATATAACTTTTTCTTTTATTCTATAAAGGAGAATAGATAAAATAAACTACTGGATTTATGTCTATCAAAATCGAGTAATTGTACCATATTCCTTAATACAAAACTTTAATTTTAATAAAAAAGTGAAAGGAATTTATTCTCTGAATAAAAAACAACATTACATAAACACTTCAAAAAGTGTAAAATTGAGCTAAAGAAGAAACATTTAATTGTTTATATTTTAGAATTCAGCCAGTTGTTTTAAATTTGGATTTTTTAATTTTTGTTTATGGTTTGAAAAAAAATTCTTTTGGACAAAAAATTTGTAGAAAAATATCTGTTGAAAAATTTTTGCGGAAATTGTAGAAAAATATCTGGCAAAATTTGATAAACCCAAAATATATTATAGTTTATGTACACATAAATATAGAATGTAGTCCCAGCATTAATATAACAAATTTTAATCATATAGTTATTTGAGTATAATGTTTTCCGTTGCATTTGCTTAATGATGCACAATAATAAAGCAATAATGCTTAAACTTGGCATCTTTTCAATAGCATTTTGAAATGCACTTTGATTAATGCAGTTGACTCATGTTGCTATAATTTGTTGCATATAAATTGTGTGATACGTCTAGTCTTACAATTAGTCTCGAATCCAAGATCGTTATTGGTGCGCGTTATCGATATCGAAAAAAACATTATCGCTTGTGCTATTCTAAAATAATGACGTATGCAAATACAATCTTATACAAAGAGCTATGTAGATAACGGACGGCGATAACGAACACATGTCAAGAAATTTAAAGTTCGTCAATCTTTAAAATGTGCATATTTTGAAAATACCTTACTAAAAAAATTACGAGATAAAAAATGAGATTCTTCTTTTAAAAAGTTATTAAAATACAACGAAAGGTGAATTTATTATCCGTGGTTAGTATATAAAATGAGATTAAAAGTAAGAGATTAAAAATGAGTATCGTGATCATCGTAACGAGCAGTAATCAATAATGAATTGACCAAATATAGGAACAACTTGAGGGAAGCCTTCTGATTGATTCAGAAAGTTCGAAATATACCTATTTAAATATACCTAATTGTCACACAGTGATGAGAATTCCGGGTCGCTTGCACGGTTACTAGCATGAAGGGGGCATATACATTAAGAAGGTACATATCATACACTACAATGAGTCCATACCCGTGTATACTTGTGCATGCATTGTGTGTCCATCTCTTCATGCTAATAATGTTCGGAATTCGCACTATTGTCACATGGTCAAAAAGAATGCTCGTAATGCTTTTGTTGCATCGCTACTAAAGATTTGACATTTTTATTTAAAATAAAAAGGCATAATCTAAAATCATGAATCGCAATTGTCCTTCTTTCTATTGTCATTCTATTTCTCGTGATATCGGCGTTTCTTGTAGAAACAAACTGTGTTTATTGTACAGATAAGACAGGACGAGATAAGAAAAAGAAAGAAAGAAAGTGTCCAAGTAAGAGAAGGAGGGAGAGCTTCTCGAAGATTCTGCACGTCCTTGAGCATTCAAGGTCTTGAAGAATCATTTAGCTCATGGTCTCATGGCAGTTGACGACTGGTTTTGGGAATTTCAAGTTGATACAGATCGATTTTTATAATAACATTTACGATATCTTTTAATTCTAGAACGCTATCGCTATTGAGTGATGCAGTATTATTAT